CGCCCTGCCGCATGCGCGGCTATTTGCACTGTCGCATTCTGATGCGCCATTATGCGATCAGATGCGACGGCGGCTTCCCCACGGCAAAGAGGCCGACGGGAGAAAGCTGCGCGCCGGTGCAATCACACCCTGGGAGTCCGCATGCAGCCCGTGGCAAACCATTTGCCAGTAGGTCGTCCCAGGAACTTTCTTAATGCACATCTTCGGCGGGACGCCACGGGCTCGCCACGGGTGCGCTACACTTCCCAGATGTTCCGGTGTGATCACGCCCAGAAAATCCGCGGGACTATCGTGCCTTCAGCGCAGCAAATGCTCCGTGTGAACGGGGCCATTGTTTCCGAGTCCTATTGTTGGTCACTTCTGGAGGCAGATCTTGATCAGGAAAGTTTTTCTAATCATGTTAAGTGAAAATCATCTTGCTTTTAAAACTACATGAGTCTGTGCTCTGTTCTTGTGTCAAGGCTGAGTTAGGGGGAGAGAGCAGGAGCCCTCATGGATACAAAGGGGACCAAGATTTCTTTTGCCCTTTACCAGTATGGGGAAGCCTTGTTCTCCCATGTTGCCTTGTTCCACAGCTTGTTCATTAGCCTAGTAAAGTCTGTCCCTTGTTTTCTTTCTTCAAAAAGTCTAAATGAGTTTCTCTCTCTTATTTAGCTCCAACTGTGTAGTTAACCTGTCTCCTAATAAAAGAGCCGTCTTGCGTGAGGCCTATCGAGTGTTAAAGGTAAAGTGATAGCTGATTGTGAAACAATGGCAAGAAAAAGGAACTTTGCAGGGAGGAGGAGGTTTGAGCATACAAAAAATTTCTTGTCTGGAAGCTGTGCTGCATCATACTACTGGGAATTGTGTGCAGTCAATATTGAGCACTGAAACCCTTTGAGTTCAGTGTCTGGAGAGAAAGTATCTATGTAGGTCAGCTCCTGCAAAGAGTTGCTGATCAGAAATTTCAGAACCATGTCCTAAAAGCAGGTTGCATTGCCTGCAATGTGCTTTGCTAGCCAGCTGCTACTGTATTCTGTTTATGTAAACAAAGTGAGGATGATTGACTTTCCTACAAGGAGACGGCCTGGGCTGCCTCCAGAGACCTTGGTTAAGTTAGCTTGTCTGAGTTGGCTGAATTGCTTTAGAAGACATAACATATCCATAGCAGAAAACTCAGCAGCTAGTGAACAGTGGCTGGAACTGGCACTGCAGTCTCAGCCAAGCAGTTTCCTTGGCTTTAACCCGGTCAGTCTCCATGCCCTCTTTCTCCTATCAAGTGCTGGAGACAGTTTTTATTATTTATTTATTTGTTGTGATTAGGGCTCCCATTTCTTTCTGCTTCTCTCAGACAGGCGGGGAGATGTATTTCAGTGACGTATATGCCAGCCATGACCTGCCTGAGGAGATCAGGAAACACAGGATCTTGCGGGGTGAGAGAATTCCTCCCCTCCTTCCTGACCACACTTAAACCACTGTTGGAATCCAAGTGCAATACTGCATAGTTCTTTCTAGCATATAATCTTAAAGCTGCTTCTCTTTTGACTGTTTCTCCTGTGAAACTTCTCAAAAGGTTTGAACTCTGTCTCTTCTTCTAAACCTAGGCTACTGTCTAGGCGTCCCAGACCCAGTAGCAATTGTGTTCTGCAGTTGTCTGCGTACCTCCTGCTGCTCTGAGTGAGGATTTTTGGACTGGGATTGTAGTCCCTTTACTGACATTAGAGGAGAATGGATTAGGAGATCCCTGGCGTCATCATCAGCTCCTTTTGAGTTGGGATGAAGGGGCACTATGTGCACAGTCACTGCAGTGTGGATCAATGGGGCCCAGTAAGGGGAGCATTCAGTCTGTGCAGGCTTTGACTGTGGGAGAGAGATCCTCAGATTTTATCCATCCCATCTTCTCAGCTTTTTAGAGTGGATGTGGTCGGCCACTCCTTCATTTTATTCCCAGAACAGCCTTGTGAAGTAGATTGAGCTAAGAGAGAGTGATTGGCCCCACGTCACCATGGACACTTCCACACATGCTGAATAATGCACTTTCAATGCACTTTGCAACTGGAATTTACTGTGTAAAATGGCAAAATCCACTTGCGAATGATTGTTAAAGTGCGTTGAAAGTGGCCTGGAAGTGCCCCTGAGCTTCATGGCTGAATGGGATTTGAGCTTGAGGTTACTGCAGTACACAGTAATATTTCCCTCTGTAGCTCTTATTGCTGCTGTATGCTTGGTGGTTTCCCCTGTAGTTTTCTTGATTTGGCTTCCTCCACCATGCCACCAAAAGGCTTTTTCATGCTAGTGAAATAGCAATGATTGAGTCTGTGTTCCGTGCGCCTTGGCGTTTAGTCATGCCAGCCACATGACCATGGAGAAGTCTTCAGACAGTGCTGGCTCTTCGGCTTGGAAACGGAGATGAGCACCGCCCTCTAGAGTCGGATTCGACTGGCTTTCGAACAAGGGAAACCTTTGCCTTTACTTAGAGTCTTTAAGGCAGGATCCTGAAGTAAGTGTGGTAAGAAGTAAGTGAAGTAAAAGTCCCTTGGACTGCAAGGAGATCAAATCAGTCAATCCTAAAAGAAATCAACTCTGACTGTTCCCTGGAAGGCCAGGTACTGAAGCTGAAGCTCAAATACTTTGGCCACCAAATGAGGAGCACTCACTGGAGAAGACCCTGATGCTGGGAAAGATTGAAGGTAAAAGAAGAAGGGGATGGCAAAGGATGAGATGGTTAGACAGCTCAACATGAAGTTGAGCAAATTCTGGAAGATGGCGGAAGACAGGAGGACCTGACATGATGTGGTCCATGGAGTTGCGAAGAGTTGGACTTGACTGTGCGACTGAACAACAACAAAAAGAGTCTTTAAAAGCCCTCTAGTGGTATAGGCAGGAAATGGCAGCTGATGTGGGCAGGACCTGCAGAAATGTTCACCTTCCCATCCATATGGCATGTGAACTCACTTTGACTGTGATCTGTTCCCCAAAAATGTATCAAAGCAGGTTTCCAAAAGATTGAAGCAAAGGTGGGGAAGTGGATGTTTAGGGAGCAATAACAAAGAGCAAAAACCTCTGTGTAGAAGCAACTGGAGCTTTCCCAGCCCTTCTATCCCACACTCACTTCAGGATCCTGCCTTGGAACTTCATATCCCCCATTCACAGTGTCTAGGGCTTCCCACCCAGAGGGGCCATTCCCACAGTTTAACTGCTTTCCAAAGGAGGAAAACAATGTTCTCCGTTGCTGTTTGTAAAAAGAAAAGGTCACATGTATACATTTTTGTAATGCATGTTAATGGATTTTCTGGAGCTTGTACAGATTCCACCTTTCCAAGGTACCCAGGATATGATGTGTGTATTAATACATGTAAATACATGCTAACATAATCTTCTCTTGACTAATGTTAAGTCTTGTTTTTAAAAAGTTAATTGAATGGCATTTCTTACCCATCGGCAGCCAGGTGGAAACATTAGAAACCAAGAGTGATTAAAAGACATGGGGCTTTTTTATTTATTAACTTTAAAAAAATTTATTGCTTTTTCTATTCTACAAATCTACAGGGTCAAGGGAAGGGAACAACCTAAAACTACGAGTAGCAAGGATCATTAATACATAAATTCAAAATAATCGATATTTCTCTATTGCTCAAATAGACATGGGGGTGTTTTAGAGTGCCATCCTTTAGGCCCTCCAGTATCCTTGTGTCTCAATGTTTTTTCCATGCTCCCTAGGCATTTCCATCAAGTGCCCTTTGTTGTTGTGTCATGTTTAGGTGAGTGCCTAGGTGGAGCCCTTTGGTGGGAGGATCTGTACAAAATAGCTGAGGATGTTGGATTCTTGCCACCTCGACTGGTGACAGCCTCTCGAATAACCATCGGTAATAAGGAGGTGGAAGGTGTTGTGGGTAAGAAAAGAAATCTCTATAGTATGCTGAATTAAATCTCAAAGCAAAGCATCCTCACCTTAGAGCACCACAGTCGTGAGAGAGAGAGACTAAGCAAGTGCACCTGTGATGGGAGGACTGTGTGTAAGTGAGTGAGCGATGGCTTTCTGCACCTTTCCTGTTGCACTGAAGTAATCCATATTCTGTGCTCAGAGTACATTCTCATTGCATTGCTTCTTCACCCAGGTTTTCAAAAAGTCTTGGCTGACTTGGGCCACTGATCTGGCATAGTTGCAGCTATTTCTGTGACATTATACAACTGCAGGTAGAAACTAGGAACATCTAAGAAGACATGCTAGCAGATAGGAACAACACAACTGCCTTCGTTCAATTCCAGAAGTAATTGAAAACAGAACAATGGAATGCATTATTTCCTTCCAAATTCTTCTAGATGCCTATGAGTTAGGGGTATCTTCTTTGCTATGACCAAACCAATAATGATGTCTTAAAGCTGTGATCAGGATCTCTGTTGTTGTTTTTGCTTTTCTTTAAAAGTAGTTGGGGGGGGGAGTGAGAAAGGGAGCAAGTTGGTAAACAGCAGGGAGAAAAACACTTTTCAGTTCCCTTCCTTAGAGCTGCTTTTTGCCGTGTAGAAGAAAACATACTGTATGTTTTTCCCCATTGGGAAAAATAGTAGATTTGGTGGAGGATAATTTTTAAATGGGGAAAAAATATGGCTGAAAGGGTTGTCTCTTCCCTCTCCTCATGCCTCATGGATCTATGCTCATTGGAAATCCTGATCATGGATTTCCTATATCCTGTCTGGTTTGATCCTGAGAACGCATGTCTTGACCACTTGGCTAAAGAGTTCCAGAGGAATAGCTGTGTTACTCTGTGACACCAAATTAAAGCATAGTTCAGTGGCACCTCTAAGACTAACAGTGTTTAGTTCAGTGTAAGTTTTCATGAATCATAGCTCATTTTGTCAGATGCATTGAGGTCTCCGTCTCATAGGTTGATGCTTTTATATTCTCAACAGAATGGGGGGGTGACTGTTTAGAGAGGCTGGTTTAAAACAAGGTCTAGGAAAAATGTATTTGGTTCACTCAGAATGGATGAGGTCCACTACCAGCTGTTTTTAGATAGACTTAGTAGAATTTGAATCTAGTGCAAGATAAGTACAATAGGAAGTTACAGAAGTATAACTGAACTGGTTGACGTCCATAAGGACTGGGATATGCAAGGCATTACTACCATCGTCTTAGTGCATTAAGCATGATAAGTGTTAGATCAGATCAGAAATACTGGGACTGCATATCTTGTTTCCTTTATTTCTGCCTCTGGTATCTTGCTTTTAAAATAGGGATGGTATTACCTTGCCTCTGAGAGTGGCCTTAAGGCTTGCCAATATGTTCTCACTGCAGGTGACTGCCAGTTTGTTTCTGCCACTTTCCGCCTCTTTAAGATCCCCCTGGATGATTCATCCCAAAGGTGTGAAGTTATTTACAATGGAGGAATCACTGGACATGAGAAAGTACTAGAGTTTGATGTTAACTACAAGTTCAAGGTACATGTCTGAGGGTTCAAAATTATGTTCTTATCCCCTCCTGTGGAACATAAAACTGTGTGAGAAGTGAAAATTCTACCCCATGTCTAGTCAACCCTACAAGAGGAGAGGGGAGTTGTCTCATCTACTGGCCTCAAACTATACAAAATGGCGCCCTTTAAGTCCCCCACCTCTTGTCAACAGTTCTGCCTCCTTGCTAATTGTCCGCTCTGTCTCCAGGCTCTTGACCCTAAGGTGAGGCAGCAAACCTAGAGGAACCCTCCCATGCCATCGAACATCACCCCAACCTCTTTGTAGATAGCCACATGTGCACAATTGGCTTCTTGAGAACTGTGGCTTGCTCTCCTTTTCCTTGGGAGTTGCTGACTGCATCCTCTCCTTGCACGACCCCTACCCAGCAGGCATCCACTGTTGTTAACCTAGGGGTTAACTCTGTTTCTCTCAACTGGGTGGTCTGAGATACACATCACAAGTCGTGTGTGTGAATGAATCACAGATCAAAATACAAGTCACCACTTGGTACATCAGTGAGCAAGTGAATGGCATTTGTGAACCAACCCCTAGGCATAACCATATATGTTAAGAGTATAGAAAGAAGTTAGGTGGCTGTAGAGTCGGAGTGAGAGTGGGATAATGGGTGCTGTAGGAAGCAAAAAGCAAATTGCTATATAAAAGCAAACCACTGTCAAACTACAACCTTTCTGGTCTGCTTATTGCTGGTTATAAATGTGGCATTTGTTCTGATTGGCAGTGGCTCTCTAGGGTCTCAATTCTTTCCCAGTAGTTGTGACCTGAGAACTGGAGAACTGAACCAGGGATTTTCAGCGTGTAAGGCGTGCTGACCCAGTCTCTCCTCATTTCAAATTTTCCTTTTTATATTCCATTTCCTTTTCTCCCCTCCCAGCAAGGTGAAGTGGTGGAAGTGGATAAGGAGACAGCAACTATTTTGCGGAACTCCAGATTTGCTACGAAGTTCCTGATCCGCCCAGTGGAGCAGATGCTGCCAGTTCCTGAAAGCTGTAGTCCTGAGAAAGTAAAGGTTTGGATCCATTTAGAGCAGCATTAATATGTCACTGTTTGCCCAGGTGTGGGTGGCACAAATAGCATCATTCTCCTCCATAGGACTGAAGCCAGAGGGATGTGCATAAGTTCCGAAGCTAGTGGCTTTGAACAGAACAGAGAAGTGCCACAGTTGAGGGACTGAGAGGAGAAGTCTCTTTTCTCCAAGGCCTAGTTCTCAGGAGACTCCTGGAAGAGATGTGGAAGACCCTTAAATGGATCACCCAGCATCTCTTTTTAAAAGCTGGGGGTGGGGCTGATTTGAATCAGGACTGTTATACTGTGGTGGGTATTGACTAGTTGCACCTTTGCTGAGGTAATCTCTGAGCTGTACAGTTTCAAATGGCAAGTGGGGGTTTATGTGACTGCTGAGCCATGTAAAAATGTGTTTCAAATAGAAAACTAGATATCAGTAAGACGGGTCTTATCCTACCACACTCCTGGATATGCTAGTTTAGTCTGTGCAGGGGATGTATTTTACAGCCATCTGAGCTTTACCTGCATGTGGCCATTCCAAAATGTGCTTGACAGCAGCAAATCCTGAATTGATGTTCAAGAGCAACTTTTAAGAATGAACACTATGACTGGAGTTTATTCTTGTACACTGGACTGTGATGAAATTAAATTTTAGAATGCTGGTGAGCCACCACTCTGGTCAGGGAGTGCTTTCCTTCTTGTTCTGTATAATAATACTAATAATCAGGGGTCTTTTGGAGCCGGAGTGTGCCGGAGTGCTGCTCCAGCAGCCAAGCAGCCCGCGCAAATGGTGGCGGCGGCAAGCCCTGCCCCCAGCTCCCCGCGCCCAAAAGCGCTGCAGCTCGGGGGAGGCCTGGAGAGCCCCGCTGCCGGGTCCCTCGGGCCCGCGCAGAAGCGCTGTGGCTCGGGGGACGCCTGGAGAGCCCCGCCACCAGCTTCCCCAGTCCCCGCCGAAGTGGTAAGTAAGGAATCTGTGGGGGTGGGGGTGGCGGCGGCTTCCTTCCTTCCTTCCTTCCTTCCTTCCTTCCTTCCTTCCTTCCTTCCTTCCTTCCTTCCTCTCTTTTCCTCCTTTCCTTCTCTCTTATTTCATTTCCTCCTTTCCTTCTCTCCTTTTCCTCTTTTCCTCCCTTCCCTTCTCTCTTTCTTTCCTGCCTTCTTCTCTTCTCTTTTTTCATCCTTTCCCTCTTTCCTTCTTTCTTTCCTTCTCTCTCTTTCTTTCCCTCCTTCTTTCCTTCTCTTTCTTTCCCTCTTTCCTTCCCTCTTTCCTCCTTCTGTGGCCCAACTCTAGTGAGAAGGGGTTTAAACTTTAAACCCCTTCTCTCTTCGCTCCCCTCCCTCCCCGCAGGCCCGCTGGGGAAGAGAAGGGGAGGCTTTTGAAGATGCCTCCCCCCTTTTGCTTCCCCTTCTGACATCACTTCCAGTGATGGCAGGGGGCGTGGCATATGCTAATCGCCTAGTAGCTATTTCTACGAAAAGACCTCTGCTAATAATAATTTTAAAAGTTCTTGTTCAACTACTTTCTCTTCCATCCTCCCAATCATCAGCCATTTTGGATCTTTTATATCTCCTATTCAAATACTGGGGGGGGGGGTCTTTTGAAATTGAAAAGTGTAAAAGAATATTGCAGTTCTTATGGTTCTGAGAAAGCTGCTACATCCCCCACTGCCGAGACTGAGTTGCAAAGTTTAATTACATTTGTGCGGTTTTAAGTTTTTTCTCCGTGATCATGACTTGCTCTTTCTGGCATCAATGATAGTTTCAAATCCGCAAGTTTTATCCGCATGGATAAATTTTTTACCTTGCCTTTTCCACCACTGGGGGCTCAAGGCAGCATGAGATATGACATGGATTGAAGAAGAGGTCTTCAGTAATATACTATTTTCAGATGTGCTCTTTTTGGAAGATTTGATGCAGTGCCCTTCAGTTTTGCACTTGTGGTAGATGACCAAAGAATGGCAGTACTTCTAGGAGTGCACATACCTGCTTACTAGGTTGCCAAACGAAAGGCACGTCTTTTAATATGATGAAGCAGCACAAGAGATAGGTGGGGGCTCATGTCTGACCTGGCATTGAGCTCTGAAGAGGTCTTTCTTATTCCAAATGTGTCCAAAGTTCAGCATGACTACAAGGACCACCATCTGTCTGTTTCCTGAGCCGCTGAAGCTCAGTGGGATATCAGAAGAAGATCCTGCCCCCTTTGTGAGTGGGGACTCTTTTCCACCTGTATGTGCAGACATGTTTTTTTTTTTTTAATAAATTAATTTTTTTATTTGTTTTATCCATTGCTTTTACATTCCAGGTTATTTAGCGTCTTACAATTTTTCCTCCCCTTCCCTCCCTCCTCCCTTCCCTATCTTCGTGTAGTCCTTAGTCTTTTCTCTCCAGCCACGGGCACAAAGTCAAAATCTTCCACCGAATGTCTTCCCTTCCCTCCTTGGATATCCACTCCAGATAGGTCTTCCACCTTTTCCAAATTTCTGCGGATTTCCCTTCCCAGGATGCCTCCTTGCGTAGGACTGCCGCGATGTCTGACTGTATGAAATCAAACAGATAGC